AACCACAGAACCACTTAATCAGCCCTTTCCCTCGCAGCTCAAGTATTAATAAAAATAATGACGTCTTAATTCGCCTTTGAGAGGCACAAGGAAGCTCAGTTAGAATAAAATAAGTCATCAAATCTCAAATAACGTAGTTCAAAAATCCCTGACTGCGATAATTCCCAGGTGACGCTGTGCTGAACCCAAAATAGAGAACAGCACACACAGCCCCCTGCTCACAAAAGCCTGGTCACACAAAAGAAGCGGGGGAAAAAAAAAACTATTTTTTTAAAGAGTATCGAAGGGACAATAATTAAACCTTGTTCCTCTGAGATAAGAATTAGGTCTGTGAGTGATCAGACATGCTTCAGAGCTGCAGATAAAAGCAGATCCGAGAGTCAGGCAATTGATTCTTACAGACACGACTCAAAGGTAAAGAGAAAAATTTCAAAAATGAAAGGGTACGGAGGGGCGGCTCTCGGAGCTATATTTGAAACCCTTCTGTCCCCTGCTTCTTTCTGTGACAGTCCCATCACATATCAGACAAACACAGTCATCTTTCTTTTTTTGATAGAGCTCTCCTTTGCAGAGGATAAATTTGTAATATTTCAATTTCATAGCCGCCATGTCGTTCCTATATCATTCATTCTTGAAAGAGTTTGACAGGGAGGGTGTCTTTAAAGGCCTTAGGCTGACACGAACACAGGTGTGATATGATATAGTATCATTCTCAGGCAATCTTTCAGTTTATAGTGGGTATTCACATTAGTTTGCATACTGGTTTGTTAGCGTGTTAGTTTGCTTTTATTGCTAGGGTTGAAACCCACGGTCTCTCCTGTACCCTGCACAATTGCTCTACCATGAGCTATATTCCCAGACCGGTGAGACAAACGTATTGTTGATTCCTGCCTAATTCCTTCCTGACTCAATTATCACTGCCATGACTCGTTGCCTTTTAAAGAATCTTTCCTTTTTACTAAGGATTCTTCTTACACGTACTTTCTGAAAACACTGTTTATTAGCACTCCCCGAGTGGTCTCTCTTTTTATTTTCAGCCTTAAATTAAGATCCTGAAAACATTTTAAGTCTTTTACGCTGCTCAGTAATCTGAGCGAATAGGAACTGCACCCTAACCGGCAGGTACGTGTATACATGTCTTTGCTCCCCAGACACTGAAACAGAGACCACATTATATTTTGATCTCTCTTTGCAGAGCTAACCCTGGGAAACCAACTAGGCTAGACTTTAGCTATCCTCTGCGTCGAAGCCCTCAGCCTGGGTTGATTGGGTCACAGTCAGTCTCCTTGAGGACAGAAAAGGGGCTGACACTCTTCATTGTCCTAGTGAAACCAAACCAAATCGCTTTAGAATGTGCTAGTCAGTCCAGACCAGGGCTGCATTGGCCAGCCTGGCATCTAGCAGGACTCTTGACGCCTCTCACATCAGCATAGACTGCTGGCCCTAAGAACCGCAAGAGGAAGTGTAGCACTGTCACCAAGGTCCCTTGGGGACTCCAGAGGATGACCAGGGTTACTTAAGACAACAGTACCCCCCAGACCCCCACCCGCCCTGGCCATTTTCACCCAAGGAGCCTTTGTCAAACTTTTAAAATCTTAATCAATCTTCGCTCTGACCTCTCAGACCTCAAGGAAGATGGATGAGGAACTAGGTGACCTTTCACCTGTCCTCCTATTTGTCCTGCTACAGCGAACTGATTGAAAAGACAGTGAGGAGGGACCCTGCTGCCACAGCGGTGGAGAGCTGGCTTGGTCTCCTTTATGCGGCTCCTTAAGCTCTCTTTACATTCCCCTTCTTGTTCCACCCCCAGATCACTGGTCTTTCATTCAGAGAAAAGTTCTTTGCTGTAGAGATGGGGGGAGGTGAGGGACCCTCTTCACATAAGATTGTCAATAGAAGCTGTGAAAAGGCAGTGTAATTGAGGAGATAAGAAGCCTTCCATCCTTAGCTTTGACTGCAGACAGTGGCCAAGAGACAGATCTTTAATTCTTCAAACCCAAGTCAAAAGCTCTGACCTTGGGAAGAGCAAGTGACAAAGACGTGCAACAGGAAGGCCAATGTAGTGTTTGTGGTCTGCAAGGTGCCTCTTACTGCATGCATGCATGCAACCCTTTGGCAAGTTGGTGAGTTAACCATGGCCCTACCACTCCCACCCTGTCTATGATGAACAAGATGCGGAGGGTTTAGGAAACGTGCCCAAGTCATTTATCACACTGCCCCTATCTCGTGTGCCCTGGGTCTAGTAAGGTCAACTTTCTCCTGAGAGTTTTTACAGCTATTCTTTAGAGTTCGCACTCAAGTTTGGAATTGAAGAAATCCCTTGTTCAAGCTTTTCCTTCATTCCTAAATTTACCAGAGACTCCTGCTTATCAGAAACAAAACAAACAAACAAAGACTGAGTTCTGTGCTTGAAGAATCTCCTTGAGAGTTACCCACTTCGTGAAAACAACAAACAAACAAACAAACAAATCAAATTTAACACACACAGCCCCCCCACCCCGATCTTGCGTGAAAACACGGAAGTTCTCAAAAATAACTCAGCTTCTGGGGTGATGCTACACGTACAAAAGTCTAAACATTTGGGAAGTAGCGGCAAGATGATCTGAGTTCAATGCCATTCTCAGTTACAGAGCAAATCTGAAGCCAGCCTCCCGTGATTTGTCTGAGACCCTGTTCTCAAGCGACTCAGAACAGGAGCTATTGAGAAAAATCCTCAGGATCTACACAAGAAAGCCAGGTGTAGAAACACAGGCCTGTTAACCCAGCCCTGCGGTGGGTGGAGACAGGAGGATCTCTGGGATTGGGTGGTTCCAGCCGTAGCTTCCAGTTCCTCAAGACTATCTCAATAGATGGGGGCAGAGACAGTAAGTTCTTCTCTGGCCTTCGTCACAACACAAAACAAACAAACAACCAAACAGCCATCCCTTTTCATTAAATTTAAAACTGCCTGTGTACAGTTTGCTCAGAGTTGGACAGGGCCCCACCAGGAGTCTAGCTCCTCCCCTTTGAGGAATCACGTGACGAAGCCACCAGTTCCATAAAACAAACCACGAAAATATTCAATTGCCTTTCCATTCTCTTCATCCCATCTTTGTTTTTCTTTTCCTCCCAATTTGGATAATGAGGGTGTCAAGGAGGAACAGGCAGAGCAATGCATGAGTTACCAGGATCTACGACAACTGCAGATCAATAGCGGCAGGCAGACTGAAATGAGAATAGACTAGCAGAGGGAGCATGTCAGCAGGGAATAGAAGAAAACGATAACAACCACACACGGATCTCTGCAAGATGCGAAAGTCCTACTTTACCAAACTCAAAAGGGCAGAAGCGTCTTTTCTAGAAAGCCATAGTGTATCACGGTCCTGTGCATTGGTTGTCCACTGTGGCTGTTGTTCCTTCCCCAGGAATAGGGCACACACTTCTTTCCTCATGCAAATAGTGCCAGGATACCCTTCAGAGCTTCTACTCAGTCAGCTTACCACATAGTTGCCAAGTCCAAAGCAAACCAAACAGTATGGGGCTCATCTTTCCAGAAAACTTTCCACTCTTAATTTGAAAAATTTCAAGTCAACACTTTAGCTCGGAAAATAAGCTAATCCATCTTTATCTCGTTTTATTGACATCCATAGACAGCCACTCCTAGAAATAAGACTATCATCGCAAAGCAGTGAAGGGCCCTAGGGAAAGTATAGAAATCCTGAAAGGGGAGGCATAGAACCCAATGACACGGGAATGACCAACAATATGCTTTTCTGGAGGTGATGACCACGGCCTCCTGATCTGGCCAGTGGAATGCCTTCCACTTGATCCCACCCTGTCATTAGGATGCTTGAGATGCCAGACAAATTGTTTGGCAGTCATTTACTTCGGGCTCTTTAATCACCAAGTCAGATGAACCTGAGGCTATGGCTGATAGAAAAGGCTCATCTGATCTGTCCTATAGCTGCAACCTGGAGACATAGTGACACTGGCCACCGTGTAGCAGTGGCCCTAATGGAGTGGGCAGCAGCAGACTGTGGATGACCATTAACAGTTGGTGCCAAGCAAAACAGAAGACTTGGGATGACTGGCTTGTTTTGACACCTTAATCCACACATGGTATGTATAAGCAAGCCCTATCAAGGTGGGCTCTTCTCATCCTCGACTCCAATGCAAAATTGCTGAGAAGCCAGACTGCTCTGACAGAGGAAGTCAAGAATGGAATGCCCACTCTGAACTTGGATGAGACAGGTTTTAAAAAAAAAAAATCACCTTAGTGATATGATAAAAATTAATTGCAATAAAAATATCCTTTTTCAAAAGCCCAATAACCAAAATGGATTGCAATTTACTCTTATTGCCCCTGACCACAGATCAAATAAAGAGACTCTTTCTAACTGTATTATGAGCTCCTCAAAGAAATGAAGAGGTCTTTTGTCAAGATTAATTTTGCTTAGGAACCCTTCAAGGGGTGTTAGGTGGAACAGCGTCACTTGAAGCATCTCCTTCTTCGCTTGTTGGACCACTTCTCCAAGGGTCCATGAGGCAGGAAGAAATGAAAGGACTCTCTATAATCGGAGCCAGGGGGAGGGCACAGGCTGAGTCAATGTCCCTTTCCCGGTTAACTCCTTCCTGCTCATCCACACTCATCACTTTTAACCAAGTCAGCAAATTAAGGTTCAGAAAAATGTGTCTACCCTCTTTAAGCAGGGCTCAATCAAGCCCAGGTCTTCAGCTCGTTCATTTACATTTCAGAAGGGGCATCAAGCCGGCTGGGATCTAAGGGCCTGTTAGCAAAATGTGCCTGGCCTTCTGCTGAATACAGCAGCATCGTTTGTTTTCTCTGTATTAGAAATGTCTTAGCCTTGCCACCTGGAGCTGCAGCACTGACTCATTAGATCCCTCTGTCCCAGCACATCCCGCGGGGGCTGCTAATTACTGGCTTTACCCCATTCAGTCTCATCTCTGATTTAATTACGTGCGCTAAGCCCTAATGAAAAGTACAGTATGGCTGTTCTTACCTTGGCATTCACCATTCTGCTCCTCATGCCCAGCATTGCACAAGCAGTTGCCAATGGGCACCAGCCATTCGCCATCTGCCCCACAGTACATTTTTGGCACATCCTTCTCTTCGGAGTTGTTGACACAGGAGCCTCGAACTTCCACCAGGGAGGAGGTATCAGCCCCCGTGATGGTATCAGGAAACTGTGCTAGATTTCGAACAGTGAGCGGACACTTCTTGTAGAACACACGGACGGAGACCAGGGCAATGCAAGCCCCCACATCCTGAAAGGCCAGGTAAAAGCCCTTCTTGCTCAGTGGTCCTACATCCCGGATCTCAGTGTTGAGCTTCATGATTCGGTCACCAATGTCCACCTGCGTGAAGCTCTCATCAGCCGCGATGGTATCGATCTTGCCAAACTGGCTCTCTCTGATGAAGCGCTCCTTGTCGTTGTCAGACTCGTAGTAGTACAGGTTAAACGTCTCCTTGCAAGTCCCCATGACGCCCGGAAGACTGTTGCAGTCCCTCAGAGTGAACTTAATCTCAATGTACACCCGCTGCGCCCCTTCTCGGGTGATCCAATCAGTTCGCAGCCAGTTATTCTGGCTGGCTTCCATCACGTTGCACACCTGGTAGGTGCGGATCGGTGTATTTTTCTCATCCATGATGCTCACTTCCTCCCACTGCAAAGAGCCAAAAGAAATGAATCAATGAGAAAGTTTCATCAAGTCTAGTTCACAGCTATCCTTCCAATCATGGAGAAAATTACTATGTAACAGTACCCCCACGAAAAAGTATCTTATGGGCTATTATGGGCTCTCTTGCTGTTTTCTTGAGAAAAATGCCTCCACCTTGCTGCAACGCCCCCCCCCATTCCCACATATGGTTTCCCCTTTCCACCTGAAATCAAAAGGCAAGAGTAGACATAGTGCTTGTGTGTTCTCAGCAGTTCTTGTGGTGGTCCAGCAACGTCAAGGTCACCTATCACAAGAGCTACAACTTTAGGTGGCAACGGCTCACATTTACTCACGAATGAAATAAACCTGTATGTGTATTTGTTTCAACCACTAAACAGAAACCTGCAAATTAAGGGCAGGAAGCGTTGGGCTTGCCAAAGGAAGACAGCAGTTAATTAGCCATGTTCCTGTCAGAACTTTGCTCTCTAATACTTTTTTAAAATGATTTCTCTCTCTCTCTCTCTCTCTCTCTCTCTCTCTCTCTCTCTCTCTCTTAAATCATGCCTAGTCTTTAAAGGAAGAAAAGAAAATCCCACCTTGTTTCAGCAGCCTTAGAAGACAGTACGTCTCCTGGCCGACTCTCAGAGACACACTATCACAGGAATAGAAAACTATTGAGAGCCGGCATTGAGTTACTGTGTGTGCACACGTGCTTATTTTTAAAACAGAGACACACAAGGAAACAAGAATGAATGAATGAGTGCTTCGCTTCCAGTTAGTCACAGTCAGGGAAAATTAAAATAGTAAGTGATATTTATGGCTGAAGGCTAAAGCAAGAAAAATCAAAAGGGGGGGGGGTGTTTTCTTTGCCCTCTACTTCCTAACACAAGGATCTTAATGGTAGCCACTCACCATTCTGAGAGATTCATTTTAAGTAGTGATCATCTCACCCCTACTGGAGTTTTAAAAGCTAATTCTAAAATGGGAAAGGCAGTTTGGGTTACACCTAACCCCTGGCTCCTTCTCAACTGCTTGACAGCCTCCATTTCCTCATTAACATTTAAAATAATGCCGGATTGATGCAGATCGGGCATAAATCAGCCTAAGTACCTAACAGGGATATAGTTAGAGGGAAAAAGAGAGTTTTGAAAACTTTATATTCCACAATAGCAGATTCACTCAATCTGAGGAGATCCACAGACTCTAAATTGTTCTTTCAACAGGTTCCCATCCTTGCACTGAAAACTATTAGTGGATGGAAATGCTGCTTCATGAAGGGCCAAATGCACAAAATTATGTCTCCAATTCCTCACTTCCCACTGTAAAAGCTGGAACTGCAGACGTAAGTACCTTGTGGCAATTAATTTTTAATCTATAAGCAAGCATTTACTTATTTGGGGGAAATTCATGTAAATTTAAAAATTAGATTCTCTACCAAAAACACCTACTCAGTAAGTCCCTCATCTCAGAACAAAGATAAACTGGAAAAGCCTGTTTATTAACATAAATGAAAGCAGTGGTCTCTTTAGGCCATCAGAGGGTAATTCAGGTCAAGGGAACTTCTACCCTGAACTGCGGTATTTGAAGACACTGATCCCAGCCCCATGGCAGGCCTGAATCCTCCCTTAGTTGCCTGCTTCGTAATCACCAGCATCAGCAGCTCAGCACACCCCTTTAAATGGGCGCTGTCAGAAAGAAAGGAGTGACCAGTTATATGCTGGCAGTCAGAGCCAGCCTTCACCTGTCACCGGTCCCCTGCTCCTCCTCTGGGACAGGGAGGCATCTCTGACTCCATCCATGTTACTTTGAGAGGGTGATGATGGCATTGGCAAGTCGGGTTGATTTTGTTTTTAAAATAATGTGTTGCAAGTAAATGCCATTGTTAGACAACATTTCTGTTTCCAACAGAGATGGGAAAACACTCTATCCGCAAGGAGAGAGTCCTGAACAAGCAAGGAGACTTCATGTCTCCACCCTCAGCTTGGAACGACTTTCCCAAGATCCACTAATGGATCCCCAGACTTTACTTTCATTCTAAACCTCAAAAATATTTCAATTGGACTTAAAATTTTGACAGTTTCCTCAATGGTAGCTATGTCGATGACTTGTAAGTTAAGTTTTTAGTTAGTGTATAAAATAAAAGGTTTTATTCTAACATTTGTATACCTATGTACCACTATCCCTTGCGCCTTTTCAACTCCTGCTGCCCCACTCTTTGCTCCTTGCTGATCTTCCTGCCCAATATGTTTTCATGTCTCAAACATATACACATGTTTACGGGTAGCTAAACCTATAGTCTGCATATGAAAGAAAACACGAGACATTTTGCCTTTCTTCCTCATTATTTCCCTCTCTTGTTCCTGCAGAATGGCTAATTTTGATGTGTGTTAGCAAAATTTCATGTCTGACCTCTTATGATAACAGCTGATATGTTATTCAGCTCGTAATAATGGAGAAAAAGCTACCTACTCAAGACCATGGAAAGTTCTGGGTTGTGCACAATAAGTTATGCATTTTTTTTAAAAAAAAAAACAGACTTCAAAACATCTAAAAGAAGTCAGAGTCTAAAATACTTGAGCAAGTATTCTTTCAGAATCCTACAGAGGACAGGGAGAAAAAAGATGTCTGCATACTAAATTGCAATGAAAGTTTCCTAGAAACCAGACGGAACATAGACTAGACTTTCAAATGTATCACTCCTTGGTTTTATATAGGCCAAGTATATAGTTAGTGACACAAGTTCCAAAAGACCTTAGCTTGGGGCAGGGAGAAAGAGAAAGGAGGCTCCTTACACAGCTTAGCAAGCACAGACCCTTCATCCTCAGTTTTGTTGGTCTGTAGTTGTCATACACGCTATAACCCAGGTTGTGAAACTCCTGAGGAAGCCCAGGAAAACTTCCCCTGACCAATGACCAGCCCAGAGTCTAGGATTAACACTGAGTCTGACTCCCAGCAAGATAAAGCAGTACCTTCCTTCAAAGGATGAGGGCCCTTGCCTGCAATCAGCACTGACTATAGCCTGTCTACACTACCAGAGGCCTGCCAATCACTTTCTCTCCTAGATTTTTTTTTTTCATCGTTTGGGAGACAGAATGGAATTTTTCACCAAAGACCAAGTCTACAGCAGATAGTCAAATTCAGAAAGAATAATAGGAAAGCAAGGTCGTCTCCATTTTATGTATAGGGCCTGCTTTGATTCCGCTTTTCCGATTAATGACTATTTAATTGCCCACTCTTCGTTTTGAAATACATATTGTGTGAGAGTATCTAAGAATCCTTTTGGTTCTTTGTCAGGTCTTTTATTCAACTCTCAGTGCTGGCTGGGATCACCATGTTTGCCTTGCAAAGACTCTTAATCTTTGCTTCTCATTGTTTTTGATCAATTGACTCAGTCATAAACTATCATGCACGTAAGGGTCGGCTGGCTTGCTTATGTTCTAAAGGATGTAAAGTTATTTCAGTTTGGCCCCAGTCAGACTTGTTCCCATAATGATTCATTTGCTACTCAGGGGGATGGGAGGATGTGGCTGCTGGAGCGAGTAAATCTTACCCTGGAGATGGTCATGGGGAGCTCTGCACCCTCCCTAGCTGAAAGGAGGAATGCACTCTTGTTATTTTATAATCCAGAATCCCCGGTTTGCAGTGAGCCAGATTCCAAATGCTTAAGCTTTTCCGATGTAATGCTCAAAGCCTGGAAGGTCTCTTGGATTTACAAGGCCTCTGGCTCAAGCTTCCTCAACCAGCAGCGGACTTAAGGTTATGACCATAAGGTAAGGAAACCAGCCTCCCCACTGCTTGGGTGGGTTGAATTGGAGATGTTTTCTTTCTGCTGTCTTTCTTACTCTCCTTCTTCATCTGGAAGCGGAACAACTGCTCTAAAATTAACCCCGCCAGGACTCCATGACCACCAGAGTAATAGGCATAAATTTTAATTTGGTCCCCAGATCGTATTTCTTGTCGGTATTTCAGTTTTAAATAGGCATCTAAGTCTATACCTCCACCAATCTCCTAATTTTGAAGCCCCTTTCTGCCCTTTTGGTTTCTAGCTCTTCCATGACAGAGCTATCCGAAGGGAGTATTGGATTTCTCCAACAAAGCGTAATTCACTTCATAGGCCACAGCGGAAATCTGACCCCCTCACCACAATCACCCAGAATCAAGCCATTAGCCTCTCAGAAAGTGGCTAATCACCCCTTTTCCCCCTCTTGACCAGAGAGGGCCTAAGAACTTACCCCTCCTTCCAGAGGGCTTGCTATCCACCCAAGCTCTCCCTGAACAGATCTGGAATCCAATAAGGTAACTGCAAGAAAAAAAAAAAAGTATAAAAAACACAAAGGAAAATAGATTAATTTCCAATTGCAAAAAAGCCAATAATACAAAAACCATTTGCCTGAGCGTTTCCATATGTGTTGAGGGTGCACATATCCAAGCTGATCAAAACTCAAACTCGGTCTCACTTATGTAAATAATCACTCCTCAGTGGTCTTCTCCTCTCTTCAAATCTGCAGGTTCTTATTTATTTAACTTGCTTAGCATTTAAAATTCCATCCCAGGACCCAATTGATTCTTTTTTTTTTTTTTCTTTTTCTTTTTTTTTTTGCTAGAAAGGATGAATAGGGCATCTCAAGCACAATTCAAACAAAATAAATATATCAATGTAGGACAGCAACACCAGAAAGCAGATTCTGCATTCATCTTTGTCTGCTATCTACTAGATGTATTTGTTTTTGCAAGCCTCAGATGACCACATAACTCACCAGCGGTGGTGACAGACCCACAAGTGAATGCTATCAGAGGACCCAAAGGGTCATGGAAAAGGCTCTCCTTCCCTCTCTCCCCCTAATCCTCCACCCCCATCAACTAAATAAGCCCTAGGTATGGCATCCGCTGCTTTTTTAAATATCAAAGTTCCAGAAAGAGGGAATGCAGGACGGGTGGGGCTAAAATGCAAATGTGTGGAAGTGTCCTCTTTTTCCTAGGTCCTTTGGAGGACAATCGAGATGAGCCCTCCGCCCCCAGGAAATGGCTGGTTTGAATTTTAGGTACGGAGTGCTGCCTAATGGATTTAGTATGCTTGCGCTACACCTAACAGCGGGCCTCCAAGCTAGGGGGAAGGGAGAAGACGCCTCCAGAGCTGCGATACTCTTCTCGGGGTGGGATAAAAGGCTCTGGGTGCAGACGACGTTGAAAAAGAGGCAATGAATTCAAGACCTATCCACGTTGCCTTTCCCACCAAGATCTTCAGGCCTGGGGTCGAAAGGCCCGTCTAAAAGGGACCCTTGGGTTATTAATTTGATCAGGGAGGCTGGCTCTTCAGGCTGGGGGAGGGGTGGGAATGAGAGGCCTCTGTCCTTGAGGCCCAGTACCCCAACTCCCAGTCTCACCCCCAGGACGTGGAATTCTGCCCACCTCCCCTCATTTTACCCCTCAAATCTAGGAAGTTCGAACCAGCCCCTTCGCCCTAGCTCTCCGAAAGGTCCTGTATTCCTGGGGTCTATTAATTATTTTAACATGTAGAGCCTTCCCCGGGTCGCTCCGGGCTGGAGTTGTGCTCCCTCCTCTGTTCCCGATCCCTAGAGAAAAGGCCGCTACATCCACTTGGATTTATGTAAGGTGGATTAGGGACACAAAGGGAACAATAAGACCCAATTTACAAAAAAAGGGAGGGAGTAGAAAGGGAGGGTAAAAGGGAGAAAAGGAAACGTGACGGGAATAAAAAGCAACAAAATGAATTAATTTTTAAGGGAAGGAGGGGCAAGGGGGTGCAGCTCCCCTCCACTTCTCTCAACAGAGCCTACGGTTCCATCTAGCACCTTTTTGTCTAGGGTGCCCAGTCTTGCTTCCCAAAGGAAAAAAAGGGGGGGGGAATAAAGATAAAATGAACCCTAACCCTAACTATCGGTACGTCTGAGGCGAGAGAGGTCTCCGGGGACACTTAACAAGTGTGTGAAGTAAGTGGCCAAAAGAACACGAGGTACGCGGTTCCGCTCAGATGAAAAGCCCCAGGGACTGAGCAGCCGAGTTGCTAATGCGAAGCCACAAACCAAGGAGTGAGGGGATGGAGACGGGAGAGATGACCCTCCTACCCCCACCGCCCCCTCCTCCGCCTCGGCAGTGTCTGTGGGCAGGTGTCTGATAGTCTCCAAGCCCCCGCCGGGAGAGCTCCGCGTACCCTCTGCCTAGTAGCCAAGCCTAAGTTGGTTTTTGGCTCCCTCCTTCGGAACAGAAAAAATGAGAGTGGATTGCACAGGAATAGAAAGATGGACAGATGCCTGGGGAGACGGAGGATGGAGAGATGGATGCATAGATGGACGGATGTTTGTAGGGAGTGGGAAAAATCGATGAGACAGGCGTACGGCTAATGTACACAGGTTTGGGCAAGAACATAGGCCCGAGCCCACGTTCACACACTGTGTGCACTCGCGGTACCCGGCACAAATCGTCCAGGTCTATGCAGGCATCCGCGCCAGGTACACATTTGCACACACACACACACACACACACACACACACACACACGAGAGAGGGAGAGAGAGACAGACAGACAGGCAGGCAGGCAGGCAGACAGACAGACAGACAGACAGAGGGACAGAGATAGACAGACAGAGACGGAGAGACAGAGAGAGCCCTCTCCTCCCTCTGTGCCCATCAGAAACTAATGGTCACTACCTCCCTCTCACCTCGGACAGAAAAAGAGACTAACAATCCCTCCAGTACGCCCCAATAGACAAACAGAAAACAGTATCCAAAAGGGTCCTGTCGATCATGTATGTCCTTTCTAGACTAGTCCAGTGCACCATTCCGGAGATAGAAGCTTAAAGTGGGCCGTGTTTAACTCGCTGGCTGGTCCCCTAGATTTACAGGATGATCTAAGGATCTGGGGTAGGGGAGAGGTAGGCCTGAGATTGCAACATCCAGGGTGAGCGGCCCGGTGGAGAAAAAGGTGTCTGAGGCCCAGTGCTGGAAATCAGGTCAGCGGCGCCCGACAAGCGGCGCCACCAACGCTGCGCTGCGGAGACCAGGCAGCCGGGTCCCGGGAAGCGCAGCGCTGGGAAAACTTTGCAGAAACCCGGGCTCGCAAGGCTTGGACAAGAGACCGGGGCGCGCTAAGCCTCCACTGCGCTCCACAGCTGCGTTTCCCCTCTAGCCTGGACTGCTGATGGGGAGGACTTGGCGCACACGTTTTAGTTTTTTTGTTTTGTTTTGTTTTCAAATCCTGGTGTTAGCCCGGTGTATCCCCTCGGGGCGCCTGGAGCCGGCCCTGCAGGCGAATGCAGATAAACTTTGGCCTTTCGCTACAAACTTGGGTAGAGCGGCAGCTTACATCGGTCACCCACTCAGTTCAGGCTGCCTGACCGTCCTCCGTTTCCCTTCGAGATCCCCTCTGTCCGACACCTTTCTCCGGAGTGGGGACGCAAGGCTCACGCCGCGCTCACCCCCCCCCCCCCAATGCTAACTGGCTCAGAGCTCCCGAAGACCATTCATCAGCTAATCACCCGGTCCGGGTGCCCGACCTCACAAGGGCTGCCGGGCTCTTACCTTCATTCGCGGGATAGACCCTAGAACCGGTGACAGCATCACAAATCCCAAAGAGAAACGAAAAGAGGACGAAATAGAAAATCCCAGCCATGGTTCGCCGGTGCCAACGCTGCTCCTGCCGCTTCTATCCCAGTGGAATAAATGCTTAAGTTAGGAGTGCAGCAGTCTGAAGACATTGCCAAGAGGGTGGGCCCGGGCAGTGACGTACGCCCGCCAGTCCGGAGCTCGCGACCAATGGTAGTGCGAAGCAGGCGCCGAGGCCCCGCCCCCACAGCGCAGAGCCCGCCCCGGGTCCCGCCCCCTCCAGCCTCCGCAGGGCGCAAGGTCTCCGGAGGCTGGAACCGCAGCAGCGGAGGGTCTCTGCCCTGGCGGGAGTCTGCGGGCCTTATCCTCCGACACCTCGGGGTTCGATCCCCCGGGCGACAGAGGGAACCTTAAGAAACTGGGCGGACGGTGGGGGAAGGCCAGAAAATGTTGGTAGCCTTCCCCCCACTAGTTAGGAGGTGTGAGGGGTTGAAAAGCCTCACGTTGAGATGAAATAAGTCGGAAGTTGACCTGCACCTTGGCTCTTGTCCCGTGCTGAGGTCGTCGGGTCGCCGTCCCGCCCGCCTCAGCTCAGTTCGGGGCACTCTCTGTCGCACGCCGCCACAGCTACCCTCTGCCTCAATCCCCGGTTTTGTGTCTTTACGGCGCTCCTCCCTGGGAAACGCTTTGGGGTAGGGGTCTTTCGTAGCCCGTTACTCGTTTCCTTCTTAGTTACCCAGCCAAAGGGGTCTCGTCGTCTCCAGTGTTTCTCCAGCAGCAAGGCGCAGCCACTGTCCCCAGTCTTTCTGTCGTCGGAAAGCGCCGCCTGTCCGGATTCGGGTGTTCACATAGACCGAGCCCAGAACCGGACTACGCAGACTAAAATCACCCCGAGACGGCTACCAGGAACCCACTGTGCAGTTTCCAGGGAGAGTCCCTGGAACCAGGTCTAGCCATTCTGGGACACCTAGGTGTAGACAGGAAGGGTGTAAGAGTGCGGACACCTGCTGCACAGAGGGGCAAACTGAGGAGGGTCGCAAGCTGCCTGAGCAGTCACCGCGGCTGAGCTCCGACCTCTCCCGATGCAATGGGGACAGTCTCCCAGGAGACTATGGTGAGAAGCCCTTCACGCAGAAACTTGCCCCACAACCCCGGGTTGTCCTGGGTGCCAACCGTCGACCTCTCAGGGACGCAGGCACCCTCCGACCGCGGTCGGTCCTCAGATGCTCAGTCCACGGGAGAAGCCACTTGAGCGCCAACCGGAGACAGCAGCTCAGCGAACTACCCGGTGACGAGCCCCGGATGCAACTGGGTGGCTGGTCCCCAGGCGTTTTGAGGGTTGGGATTCCAAAAGGCGCGCCTCCCTTGCTCCCCTCAAGCCGCCCCTCCTTTGGCTCCCTTCCGGGCCGGGCTTTCCTCCTGCAAGTCTGGGTCTCAGCCCGAAAGCGATGCCAGGAGGTGGAGGAACCTTGCAAACCGCGGGGACAGCAGCTCTACGTGAACCAACCGCGCCACCTGCCGGCCAGATGCAGGAGCGCGCGGGCCCGGAGCAAGACCGAACGGACAAAGACGCAGAGCCGGCCAGACAGCAGGTCTAAAGCCGGCTAGTAATTTATTTATACACCTGTCCAGGTCCTGCCATACTACGGCGTGGGAAGTCCTGTCGCGTCTCCCTCCGCCTAGATCACGAAAGATGGACTTGAAAGATGTTTCGTGGAGAAATTTCGCGCTCGACATTCGACGTATTGCATGAGTAGCTTGTCTCTCAAATGGGAGTCTGAAGTAAAAATCCTAAGGGCATGGCAAGGTGTGGAGCAGAGAGCAAACCGAGCGTGGCTTCAGGCACTTTCTGGTCATTGTCGTGGAGAACCGATCGAATTTCCCTTCCAGGGCTCAAGACCTGTGCTTGCAAACTCAGACCCGGGTAATTACAACTTTTACTTTCACAGAAGGTGAGAGCGCTTGGAAAGGCGACGGGCAGTAGCTGAGTTGGTGCCCGAGGGACAGGGCATAAGGCTCCTGGCATTTGGCCTCTGCAGCGAAAAACCTATTGGAATTTCACCCACCGGGAAAGTGGTTTTCCGTTGTTGTAGCTACTGATTTCACATCAGTGAAGCGGGGGCAGGGAAACTGCACACGGGAATATACGTGTGTATGAATTATTAAAAATAACCGCGCTAAATCCCCCCTAAGAAAATCTCGATTCTTTCATGTGTCTTTCTGGGTCTTACAGAATAAATAAATAAATAGGTCCTTGCCATTTGGCAGACAGATCCAAAAGGGAAAAGAGCAACTCGAATTCTTAGAAAACATTTTTTAAACAATAGATGTTGGTTGTGTCTCGGCAGGAGAGCGAGTACTGTATATTATCTGTAGTTGAAATAGAAAACTACCTGCCTGTCTCGTTGAAAGCAGTAACATTTCCAGAACGCTCACCCCATCCTATGTGCTCACTACATATTAACGGTCTCTTCCCTCTGCAGCTTAAGCAAGGACACAGTTCTGTCCCCGCTTCCCTTTCTTACTTTTTTTTTCTTCTTTTTTTGGCATCCACAGCAACCCAGCTGCTAGGAGAACCAAGAAACTATGGCTAACTGGGGAAAGGTGCACTGCTGAAACCACTGGGCTGCCGTCATTGTTAGTGACCGCCAAAGGGACCACTCTCTTGTCCATTGGGACAACATAACCTGACAAATATGATTCTTTATTAAAACTGTGCAGAAATGAAAGCTTAGTATTGGCCCTGTTGACCACCAAATCAGAACTGCCCAGTGCAGGCAGTGTACACTCTAACACCCTGGGGTTTTAAGTGCGCCTATTTCTAGCAAGCCAAGAGAGTCACATAAACACAAGAAAAAGGTATCGTTGCAGCTACCACCCAAGTCACCTGACTCTCACATAAAATACCTCACGGGGTATGACATACACCTTTAGTCCCAGCGCTCCAGAGGCAGAGACAAGCAGATCTCTTGTGAGTTCCAGGGTAGCCTGGCCTATATTGTGAATTCTACCAGTCCTGGGTAAGACTGTACAGTAAGACATACATACATACACACACATACATACATACATACATACATACATACATAACATAAATATAAAATACCTGGATTTATTTAAGGGAAAGGACCCCACTCATAAAAATTCAGGTATACTTTGAGACTGCTAAGATACATGTCAAAATATATGTGCTAATAAGCGTACTGAAAAGGATAATTTAGGTAAACCTTTGCCTCCCACTAAGACTCGAGCTACAAATTAAACTGCAAGTTCTGAGTTGAATTAAGGTTTAAAAATATTTTGTTTCTTAACATTAAAATTGTGTGTGTTTGTGTGCATACCATATATTTGAAGGTACCTGCAGAGTTCAGAAAGGGCTTCAGATGCCCTGACATTGGAATTACAGGTGGTTGTAAGCCATTTGACACGTGAGGGCCTGGGAGCTGGGGGAGGCTGGGAACCAAACTCTGGTTCTATGGAAGTGCAGCAGGTGTTCTTAACCCATGAGGCGCCTGCTCTGCCTCCACAACAGTCTGTATGTGGATAAAATAATAACTGTAGAAATGATGACACGGAGAAATCCTTAAGAACTTGAACGTTCCACGAGGACCTAAGCCCTCCGATTTTCCTCCCGTGCTACGTGAGAGCAAGGGGCCTGAGTTGACGAATTCCAGGAATGGGGAAGGGTGGGAAATGATTCTGAGTTTCTTCCCTTCCCTCACTGTTGACTGATGACAGCTTACCTTCGTCTCTAAGATTCCTGGATGATTCACCAGGATTTGAAGCCAGGATTGTATCTCCAAACACAATAGACGTGAAAACAACCAAGTAAAACAAGAAGAAAGGGTGCTTAAAGGTCACTGATAGCTCTCACCTTCTCCAGGAAAACCTTTGCGCTCCCAAATACCACATTTGGTGGGCTTCCTGGAATCCCAGGAAGCCCAGTTAGATTTCCATTCTTTGAAGTCCAGGCTGTGGCAAGGTGTCTTATGCAAATGAGAAACAGGGCTCTTATCAACCCTTTACCCCTGAGCGGGAAAGATGGCAGCAGAGCCCAGATTTTGGTGGATCAGGAAGGGAGGAGAGAGCAGCCACAGCAAGAGGCCTTTTGGAGCACCAAATCGGCAAGGGCTGGCTAGAGTATTCCAGAGGCTAAATGTTTGGATTCTCACCACGTCCTTCCAACCAAGTTTTCTCTTGTGCTGGCCAGTGTAAGGTATACTCTAAGACTGAGGGGTTTTCAGATGTGCTCCTGTTTATAGGAAACCAGGAGAGTCCCATAAACACAGGAAAGGGCTACAGTTGGAGCTACCACCCAGGTTACTTGCCTCGAAAACAGAATACCTCACAGGATGTGGCGCACACTTTTAATCCCAGCACTCGACAGGCAGAGACCAGCAGATCTCGTGTGAGTTCCGAGGTAGCAGTTCGAGGGTACTTCTATGGAAGGTGTCACAGGCTCCTTCTATGGCTTGTAATGCCATGTCACTTTTCATGTGGTCATGTGAGAGACCAGAGAATGGTCACAAGTCTCTCCAGTCCTGCTGCCCCAAAGGGTAGTGAAGAGAGCAAGGGCACAGACAGGACCCCTCTGGACAACCCTGCCCCAGATCTAGAGAGCCTTTCACCCAAGTTTCAGATATGAGGGGTGGGTGAGGTAGAGGTGTAGGGGAGGTGGGGCTGGGGGGCGGGGCAGAATTCAGATCAGACACTTTGTACCTGTCTTGGACTGTACTGTGAATTCCAGTTTAACATAAGAGTTACTTTATTAATTTTTCAATATGCCCTAATGAAGTGTAAAACGATCTTTACTCGGCGTCTTTCCATACAATATCTATGATGCAGGTTCCCTCATTTTCATGCAAATTGTGAAAGCCAACCTGTTTGGCACAGTTGTTGAAAGTCTTTTTGAACATATTTATGTATTTTATATTTATGTATTTTATATATATATATATATATGTATTTTATATGTATGAGTGCTCTGTTTGCATGCATGCCCGCACCATGGAAGAGGGCATCATACAGTAGAAGGGATCAGATCCTGTTATAGATGGTTGTGAGCCACCCTGGGGTTGTTGGGAATTGAACTCAGGACCTCTGGATGAGCAGCTGACACCCTTAACT